AATTTACTACTCAATTGTCTATATTAACAAGGATAAATAAATGAGGAGTTACATATACATACATAATTCAGCCAATATCTATCTATCTATCTATGTTAACAAAATACTAGTACTAAATAGAGGTGTGAAGTAATAATAAAGTAAACAACAAACTCTCATATCTCTCATCATTTGTAATTGCCATTAGAGGTCCAATATATAAAATGAATTTTTATTAATAAACATGCCAAGGGAAGGGAAGGGAAGGTGCCGAGTACTTGCACAGTGACAAAGCATGCTTACAAATCACCCCCACGCGCTTCATGCTCTTTTTTCAACCTACTCTCCACCTCCACCACCCACACTTTCACTTTGGGACTTTGGGAGGGGAAGAGGAGGGATGAGTCAACCCCTAAAAAAACAAAAAAAATAAAAATATAAAAATCCCAACAAAAATTCAAACTCAAGTCCACGTCATCACTCGCCACTTGAATTTCCTCCAAATTTCCCACACATTTCTAAAGAATTTCAAGACCACAACTTTCTTCTCTCCCAACTCTCTGTTCCATTCCACTACTATATATATATATATATATAAGAAAAAGGGCTTCTCCATTACTCAACAAACTAAAATTTTCTTTAGCTACATATCTATACAGCTTATGGAAGAAGAAGCTTCTTCTTCAAACTTTGCGGGCCTCTGCCCCGATAGTGTGCCGGCCCTACCGAAAACTTTGCTGGCCCGCGAACTGAACCGTGGCAGGATTACGGCCCACCGGCTCCGCCACATTCTGAATGATGATCGAACCAGCTGGGCCGATTCAATATTGCCTGCTCAAGGCCTTGTCAATGAAATCTTGGACTCATTTACTCGTTCCATTTCAATCCTCTGTGAATCCGAAGAGGTTGGAGCTGCTGGCCGGATTATCGAAGAGTATTCCGAGAGTAAAAAGCCTCCCGCTGCCCGGAAAGAAAAGAGAGGCTGCTACAAGAGAAGGTAATTAATTAATTTTCTCTAACGGTTCTTGCTTTTAGACTTTCAATTTACTGTAATTGTCTTTCTCAACTCTAATTTCCAGTTTCCAATTGATCTCAAAATGTGTGCAAAATTAATAATTTTATGTTGCAGGAAGAGTTCTGACACGTGGATAAAAGAGTCGGCTACTCTGTTTGACGATGGGCATGCGTGGAGAAAATACGGACAAAAGGTCATCCTTAACGCCAAGCATCCGAGGTACTAACTAAACTAATTGTCTGAAAAATATGTGTTTTAATTAGATACTGTGATTGTTTTAGTTAACTAATTGGTATTTTATCTTATGATGATGAAATGAAATTTGCAGAAACTACTTTAGGTGCACGCATAAGTTCGACCAAGGCTGCCGAGCATCGAAACAAGTCCAAAAGATCCAAGATGACCCGCCCCTTTACCGGACCACTTATCAAGACCAACACACTTGTACATATATTGCATTCAAGCTTTCCTCTGAACAAGATTCTTCCATTATCTGGAATTTCGGGCCGGGCCAGACTGAACAGGAGTACAGTAGAGAAGACAACAGAGTTATTACCGAATCGCCGATTTACGATCCGGGTTATCTTGATGGGAATGTGTTTTCTCCTGATGTATATTCTTGCTCTGCAAGCACTCACAGTATGGAGATGGATTTGGATATGTATGTTATTGATGATTTTCTTGATTTTTCGTGAGCATGACTTAGTGTTGTTTTCTTTTCTGTTTATGAAATCGATCGAAACCAATGTGTTTTTGTAATTTGGAAGCTGGAGAAGCTCTTGATGGGGGCACGGAGTTACTAGCTTGATTGTCTGTAGTGTGGGAAGTTTATATACAGAGACTTAGGCCTTTTTTTCTTTTTTTTTTTTT